TTTTGACGCCAGTGTGGACCTGTTGAAGGGTGCATGATGGTGCATGAGTCAGGATTCTTTCTTAAATTCAATGAAAATTATTTTGTAACAAAAAAACTAGAAAGAGTACTAAAGCTTTCTGTAAAAAATTTTCTCAGTTGCTTGGGACATTGACTGAGCTATTGTGCTGCTCAAAACATTAAGTCAAGACAACCTGAGTATTGCAGTATGCATAAATTGTGTGGTCAATATCTTCTATAGGTAAAGAACAAACGGATGACCCAAAACAAAATGAAAGTACAGAATAAATCAAAACAATCTCAATTTGAAATCAATGCATACATATTTTGGCATTGTGCACCTACATGTCTCTGCTGTGATTATATGAATTATGTCTGTCCCCCTCCTTCTCACCAGACTAACAGTCGACTTTTGTCTTACTATGTTAGAAACTCAGTTTAAGCCTGTGGTGTAAACGTGTTTGAGAAAAGACAGATGACATGTGTATGTTTGTTGGAATTTTTGGTCTCCATCAATAATTTTGTAGACCTGCTCTATATGAAAAGTGTCCTGGGATACTTAATGGTTAATAATAGATGAACTGGCACTATACAATAAAATTGAATGATTGAAAACGTCTGTAGGGGAAGTTGGGTAATTTTACATTTACAATATAGGTACATGAGATTTTTATCGGGTTCTCATTTTTCACCCCCATCAAAGGAATAAATACGCAGTGATTTACCCATATTTTTTTCTGTGTACCTGGCTGGTCCTCCTGTAATTTATTTATATTTTATATTTGGAACATGAATTGTTTCATACTGAGTTAAATTGTTTTAAAACTATTCCACTGTCAACACAACAGATTTACCTGGGACATAGCAAGGACTTTTATATAATAATAATCTATAGATAATAATAATAATAATAATCATTTAATTTATAGAGTGCTTTTCAAAAACTCAGACACTTCACATGAGTTAAAAAGGAAAAGAACAAGCTAAAAACAACACAAATTATAGCTATATCTACAACAGTCAACAATAATTAATTGTTAAAATCATTTGTTTGATGTTTGATTGTAAAATCAATCTATCTTCCTCCTTATTGATCTAGTGATTCAATTATAAATTATTACATCATTAGTAATCCTTACAATTAGGAAATCTTGTCATTACAAAATCTGTAACTTTACCCAAGGACCCAGAGGAGACTGACTTCTCTCTCATACATGCAAACATATTTATTTTCATTTTTCATTCATTTCATTTTTATTGTGTATTTGTTTTCAGGATTAGCAGTAGTGTAAGCATTGCAACTATTGCTAGAAGCACCAAATCAGGATAAAGATTTTGTGCACTGTCCCCTTTGAAAGGATCGTGTGCCAGTGGTTCTGGTATAATGTAAACTACTGCATTGGTGTATTGTTTGTAATTGTTGTTTGCTTGATTTATTTTTGAGAATAACGGAGCTTGAAGCCAGGCCAACACGGAACGAATGAGAGGCCTGGTGCCACAATGTTGATGTAGATTCTGCACACAGTATTTTATTTTGAAAATTGATCCGATTCTCTGTGGCACTGTGTTCGGTGGAATTGGCCTCTGCCAATTATCTTGTAACTCTAACTCTATTCCCTGTTGTCAAACTAGTCAAAATAAACCCTGTATTCACCACAGTTAAATGTGAATTTACACTGGCTCTACAGCTGTTTTTCCTCTCACTAGTTCTTCTGCTCAGTGTGTGTACTGTGCTGTTGAACGTCTTCACTGAGTGACTCATTCTTTGGAGGTAGACGATTAAATTAGCGAAATAAAATTACAAAAATTGCCCAAAATTAACAGTCGATGAGGCCAATATCTTTGTCTAATCACCCAACCCTAATCCCTACCAGCCTGGACCCTCACCAGTTTGCATTCAGAGGAAACAGTTTCATAGAGGATGCCATCCCCACTGCCCTCCACTCAGTCTTCACACACCTTGAGAAAAACAACACTTCACTTCACCTCAGAGAGAGAGGCTCCATGTCAGGAGGAAATGAACTTGCAGAGTGGTGACAGCAAACCAAGGAGCTGACTTTCAGAAAAAGGAGGCAAAGACATATCTACTGTATGTCTACATCAGTGGAGCTGAGCTAGAGCAGGTGAATAGTTTAAGGTTCCTGGAAATCACCATCACAGAGAACCTCATAGTCATCTCACATTACCATCCTGGTTAAGAAAGCTAAGAAACAGTTGTATTTATTAAGGAAACTTGGGAAAACGAAATTCCTGTGCCAAGTTCTTGCAAACTTTTACAGAGGAGCAATAGAACTCGCATAGGATGTGCACAGCCCAGGAAAGGTGGACTGATTAAAACCCCTCAGAAACAGAACAGATTATCAGTGATTTCAGTGAGGTGAGGTGCATGCGCAGAGCCCAAACAATACCAAAAAACAGTACCCACCCCAGCAACAGCCCCATTGTCCTGCCATCTGGCAAGAGATACAGAAGTATCTGTTGCCATACCACCAGACTTCAGGGTAGCTTCTTCCCTCAGGCTGTGAGACTTCTTAATTCATCCTCATCACCACCATGGGAAATAGTTATTTATTTCTATGATTTTTATGATGTCTTTGCAACTATTATAGTAGCATATGTTGTGTACATAAGTTGTCCAAAGAAAATTGTCAGACCTTATTGTCTAAGTAGTCATATCCATGTATTATATTTTGGATTATATAAATCCCCAAAACAATATACTCAAGTGAATATATTGGAAGTAAAACACGGAATGGCAAAAAAGGGAAGTTGAACACCAACCTCAGATATCACCTTGTTATTGGTGTTGTCCTTCGGTTCTGTGGGGGGAATAAAAGCTGTAGACGAATCGTTGGAGCTTTCTTTCTCCTAGATAGAAAGATAAGATAAGATAAGATTAGGTGTCAACTAAGTCTGGTGGGCATACTATATATACACGGTGATGTTAATGGAGTACAAGTCAGCAGTACCTGTGTGAGTCCTGGACTGGGCTGTGCTGGAGGTTGAGGCTGAACTTGCTTTGGTTCCTCCACTCTGCCATTCTTCACAGCCTCCAGCGCAGTGGTAGTTGAGTCCAGACTGAGTTTGGGAGTAGATCGGGGACTGGCCTGAGGACTGGTCTCATTGTTATTGTTCTGCTTTAACAGGTGACTCTTTATCAAGCTGGGAGTTCTGTAAAAAACATTAGAAAAGCAATTTTTTTTTCACAAAGCATACACCATTTAAAAATATGGATGAAAAACAGATAAGGATAATATGTTGTGGGAGTGTTGGAATCCCTTGTAACTAAATTCAGCACAGTTGTTGTGGACCTATGTTTTTGTGTCAAAGTGACTAATGGGGACAACAAGTTTTGAATTTTGGCTAGTATTGAACAAAAGAGCTGCAAACACAAAACAGGCTACAATGTAATCCTTGTGGCCAATTGCACACAGTCAAATAATATCCATTAAAAGTTGCAACTGGGGTTATTATATGCATCTGACAACATGACCATACAGAGAAATTAAACATTTTCTGTT